CTAGGTCATGTTCTGATCATCTAGTTTCATTTAGCATAGAGACAGTTTTTCTCTTTCTTACTGGGAGTTCAGGGAAGTTGCCTTATGTGCTCCTCTCCCCTTAAGATGGCTGTACTGTACTTGGGGGGGGGGCTTCACTCCATATTCCTCATTGTTTGATGACTTTGTTCAGCTGCTTTCTGTCAGTGTTTAGTGTAATTCCTTAGCCTTCCTTTTGGTGTTTAGAGTTCCAGAGTTCCAGGATCCTGTTTATTTCATTTCTGATTCTATTTATTTCATTTCTTGATTCTTTGCTTGTAGAGAAATGGCCTGACATGCCACCCTCTTGATTTTTCTTCACATCATTATTCTTCAGCCTTAAATGTTAAGGTTTTGTGTCTGAGCATAGGTACAAAATACAATTATTGAAAACTGTAGATAAGAATTTTAGTTGTCATTAACTGGATAAAAGAAAAACAACCCCTAAGGGCATTCTATAAGTCCAATTTGTTACATGTAGTAGTCTTAAAGTCTAAACATCCTATTCCCCTAGCACTTCCTGACTGTAGAATGCTTTTGTTAGAATATTGCATGTAATGATGAAGGAAATAGAACTATCATTATTTCTGAATCCTGATGCAAAATATAGTTGTAAAGTATTTGACAGTTTACGAAGTGCTCTAATGTATACTGTCTCGTTTGAGTCTGTTTGTTGTTTTGAAGCTTCATTGTGATTCTAGTGCTAAATCAGAATATATCAGGGAAAACGTTTCTTTGGTTTGGAGCTGGCGATTGTATGCTACATTCGTGCTCATGACAGCCGTTGCTAAGCAATCATGGTTCTGTTTCTCACTGAATCCAGCTATGTCCTCAGTGTAGACTTGCAATAAGCCACTTTCGTTTCATTTGGATTGTCAGATGAAATGAAATCTAATGGCCGTTACTGCACTAGGGCGCTCTGGTGGCCTAGTGGTAAGAAGCTGCACTGAAATCCTAAAGGCACATGGTTCGAATCTACTAGGTGCTCCACAGGAGAAGCATGGCCATTCTCCTCCTGTGAGATTTACTGCCTCTGAAAACCCCCTGGAGGGTCTATTGTGAATCAGTTCTGATTCGACAGCACACGACAACAACGTTGCTGAACTAGTCTTCCTGTTTTCCAGTGCAGCAATGGCAGAGCCTCAGTCTTAATTGGAGACATATATACAATGTCATGACAATTGATAGTTTCCTAATTTATGTTCAGATTTCTGTTGCTAAGAGCATGGGTTGTATGAATTAGACAATTAAAATACTTTCTCTATGCTTGCCTCTCTTATTTTAAGATAGGATTAGTACTTGCTTTCCCTATCACATAGGTAATTGTTAGTGGGAGATGAGATCAAAATATTCTGTAAGTATTAAGACTGTCTTTAAATATCTGTAAAATAATTTTCAGCTTTTAAGCTCCTTGCTTCCCTGTTAGAACCACCTCAGAGCTGACCTTCCTGTGAGTTTTCCGAGGCTGTAAATCACACGGAAGGAGGCTGCCCATCATTCTTCCTCAGAGTCAGATTGCCAGAGAAGCGCTGGATTGAAGCTAGCAGCTCAAGTCCCTGGGAAGTTTTAAAATAGCCCTTTCAGTAACTCTTTCTCTTTTCTTTTTTCTTTTTTTGTTCTGTGTATATCACATGAGTAGATGTTTATTTGAAGAAATGAAGTTAAATAATGTAAAAATTTTAAACTTGTAATATCTAGCAGTGGTTATCACAGATGTCCTGTATGTACTTATTGTGAAGTACATTAATCATTAACATGTAAATGATTTCCATTATATACCTAAACTATTTTTCAGTTGCGGCTGTGTTTTATTCAGTAGCATAAAAATGAACATTTCATAGCCTTTCATTCTAGCTCATGTATATTTAATTTAGAATTTTTTTTTAAGCAAAAGCTCTTATAAGAAATACAGAAGATGGTGTGATAGTTTAAGTGTTGGGCTGTTTCATCAAAAGGTAGGTAGGCAATTTGAACCTGCCAGCCACTCCAGGGAGAAAGACAAGCCTGTCTCCTCTTGTTAAGATTTATGGTAGGAAGCCTGCTGGCGGGTCGTCATGGGCCAGAATTGATCTGCAGGCAGTGGGATTGAGGTCTTGTTGTACAGCCCTAAAAAAATGCTTTATAGGACATTTTATGTTGTCCTAGTGTTGACCTACTCTTGGTATGTTGTTGTTGTTATATGCCATTGAGTCTTGGTATAATAATAAAAAAAAAATGGTGCTATTTATGTAACAGAGCAAGTCCCCAGAAAAGACCACCAAGCCAATTAGCTGAATTAACAAAGTTTATTTTGAGTTCGAACCTGGGCTCCCGCGTGCTGACACAGCAGCATCCACCCGAGAGCCCTGAGACAAAGCGAGCCCTCCCTTTTATACTTTCTTGCTTCTTTGTCTAGCTACACAGTTTATGGTTGGTTACTTATAGCAGTTCTAGTCTTAGTTTGCTCTTTATTGGTTAGCCATAGCTCAGAGAGGCAGTTTGGAGACCTGTTTGAGCCTGATTGGTGGGGAAGCTGCTTGGAGACCTATTTGAGTCTGACTCAAATGTACACAGGGCTGCAGAAAAAATCCCTTATGTCCTTGAAGAAGAGTTCCACTTTATGGAAGTCAGCCAGCAGAGTGTGGTTTATCACAGGTGGGGGAGGTTGCTTGCTGGAAACTACGCAAGCGAGTGGGATGGAGGTAGCTGCACTTTGTCAGAAACTGAGTTTTTGATATTTGATTCTTACATTCCCCACTGGTTTTTCTTAATAAACCAAATAATTGATTCATCAGTTTCAGTGAGGTGCTGATAATGGGTTTAAGCTATAAGGCTTTTAAGACTGTGCACACGAGCTTGGATGAGATTAACTAAGTACCTGAAAATGCAGGGAGCAAAAGTTAGAATGAGGATTAACAACAGTAACTGTCTAGCAATTGAAGTGAGAAGGGTAGTGAGCCATGGGGACCAGTTGAATAAGGTAGGGAACCAATTGCCTTATTACTGTCTTATCTTTTTTCTTTTTTTTTTAGCCTCTGTCAGAGTTTACTAAGGCTTTTTTCTGATTACTCCAGAATGATTAACATAAAAACAATTTTTTTTTTCAGTGCAGCACATAGACCTCCTTGCTTTAAAAACAGTAAATTTAGGCCTTGTTTGCGGTTACAATCGCATTTTTCTTTTCGTTTGAGATGTCGACAATCAGGTCAAATATTAACTCTTGCAGACCTCAGTACAATACAAAGATGTTTTTCAGAATACCTTATTGTGTGCTCTAAGAAACAAGGAGTTTCGATAGATTACATTTTTTAAGGTCTGAGACCTTTGGCTACTTTTATTCATTAACATCTTACTTCCTTGACTTGTTTATTCTAAGCAGATGTTTTAGCCAAGATGGAGTTAGTTTTGCTGGTTTTACACTACAGGGCTAATCTTGCTTTACAAGTTAGCCAGGCTCCTGACAATTCCCTTTCCAAAATATTAAAATATAGGATGTTGCCTGTCTTAGGTAGATAAGAGAACTCAAACTCAAGTTGCCCGTCATGGGGATAATAGCAATTTATGCTACTCCCTGTCTTAGGATCATGAGTGAGTCTTTTTCCTTACCCATCATTGGCTACACATCCTGCATTTGTTTGGGGAGGGCTTTAAGTTGAATTTCATGTATTTAACCCAGCAATTCTTGATATTGCTTGGCTAATATAAGATCAGCACAAGGAAGGATCCATAATAAACATATGACAATAATACCAAGAGCAACAATTATAAAAATTAGACTTAAATGAATTGACTGAAGGAAACCAGTTTTTAAGATTTTCAAATATTTGACTAGCTTGTTCCACTGGAGAAATATTTATATCTGGGGTATTTTGCATTTTTATAATTTTTTGGTGCAAATCATACAAATCAAGAGAATCATTATTTGACATCCAAATTCCTTTTAAATGAGATATTATTTTATCCAATTATTATCTGAGCTATTATATTTTAATTTTTTAACACAAGTAGAACCATAGGCTACATGGCATCTTAACTTTTCTCTTACACTAATTTGTTGTACCATATTTCCTAATACATTTACCATATCATACAAAGCATTTAATTTTTGTTCCATAACTTTATCTACATTTTCTTGCTCTACCCAATTTTTTTGTCACATTCTGCATTAACCCATTTACAAAAATAGCCGTTTGAACTTTTTGTGTTAAAGCTACAGCAGAAGTAGAGATACCAGCAAGCATAGAGATAAGAGGCTGCATAAAAAATCCCTTATGTCCTTGAAGAAGAGTTCCACTTTATGGAAGTTGGCCAACAGAGTGTGGTTTATCACAGGTGGGGGAGGTTGCTCGCTGGAAACTACGCAAGCGAGTGGGGTGGAGGTAGCTGCACTTTTTCAGAAACTGAGTGTTTGATGTTTGATTCTTACAATTTAGAAAGGAATTTTTCATATGGGAGAATTGATCTAATTTCTTGCAGAAAACCTGAATCTATTTTTTTATGGATATTACACTAGCGTTGTAGTCACTGTGTACCATCAAGTTGTGCTGACCCTCCAGAAGGTTTTCAGTGGTAATTAGTCACCTGGGAGGATTGCTGTCTTTCTCCAAAGGAGCAACTAGTGGATTCAAACTGGGTGCCTTTGGGTTGACAGCTTAACTCCTTAGCCCTAAGCCACTTTTGTTGTTATTGTGTCCTGTCAAGTCATAACTGATCCATAGCTGAGCCTCTAGGGGTTTTCAGAGATTGCCCATCGTTCTTCTGCAGAGCAACTAGTGAGATCTGAACTTCATGCCTTTGGGATTACAGCACAGCTTCTTGCCACTGGACCACCAGCTCCACTAGAGCTCCCTATATACCTGTCAAGAGCCCCCTATATACCTGTCAATACTTTTCTTAAAATGAAATATATATGAGTATAAAGCAAACAAAAGAAATTTGTTATGCAAGAAAGCTGAACAGTTTTTACTTTTCTTATTGGTTTTTTCTTTTAAATCCCCATGTAGATTTGGAGGTTGATATGTGGAAGAATAATCTGCCTTGATTTGAAAGATACTTTCTGCAGTAGTCTGCTTATTTATAATTTTAGGATATTTGAAAGAAGATATGGCAGCAGAAAATTTGCAGTAAGTTTCTATATGCTTTGCCTTTGTTATTTAGGTTATTAAAAATAATTTTGATTTTTGTTTTCCTTTTAAGTAGACTTATTTTGTTAAATCTAGTGTTTCTATTTTGAATTCTTTAAACTTATATGATCTTATATCTGATTTGGAGCATGGATATTAACTAAATATGATTGATATATTTAAACCATAATGGTAGTAAAATAACAACAATAAAAGAGTGGATAGTATTCAGTCAAGAGCAATTTTAATTAAATTCTACTCACTTATTTTGCTGATTGATTTGTGTGTTATCTGATCAAAATGAATGATGTTGTAATGTTCTTTCTGGGACCTCTGGTGGCTTAATAATAAAGCATTGTGCTGCCAATCTAAAGGCACACAGTTTGAATCTACTAGCTTCTCCTTGGCAGAAGGATGAACATTCTCCTATGTGATTTGCTGCCTCTGAAAGTCCACTGAAGGGTCACCCATGAGTCAGTTCTGACTTAGCAGTATATATAACAACAACCACCATAATGTTTCTGCAACATACTCAGGTATTATGGAAATTAATACCTTTTATCAATGAATTTTTCTCATTCGGAGTGGCACCCACTTCCTAAACAACTTGCCTCCGGAAACTCTATGAACTTTGATAAATGTCGATTACTTGTAGAGGGGCTTTAGGACTTTTGTTCACAGGGTCACTATGAGTCGTGCTCGACTCGAAGGCAATGAACAACAGCAACATCATTCTAAAAAACATGTTCTAATAAAAACTGTTTAAAGATACACACACACACACACACACACACACACACACACACACACACCCCGAGCTGGTTCTCACTAAAATGAAAAGAATTCATTTACTTTTTGGAGTCTAATCACTATAATTTTCTCCTGTTTTCTGTTTTAGTCCTTTTTGCTGGGTTCCTGGGTTTTGTCAGCTTTATTTGACTTGATCCTTGTTGAAGCTATGCAGTATTCATTTGGTATTGCTGCAGCCAGTAATTTACCTTCTGGATTGTAAGTAGCTCTTGAAGACTGACTTAATTTAAAAATGTTTAATGTCCTCTAAAACATCATAGCATATAGAGGAGCAATTAAAAATTATTTTAAACTCTTAGATATAATAAAATTAATGTTGTGTATTAACAGATCCAATATATGCTTATGTTTTAATTATGTTCTTAATACAGAATCAATCTTATGTAACTATTCTTCCAGACTTAAAATCTGTAGTTTGGATAATTTTTCATGAACTTCGTTGTATGGTCCCAAAGATAGAATTGATATTGTATGCAATCATAGTGAACTTTTATATTTGTAGTTTTGTGAGTTAAATGAATGCCAGCATTTTGTGAACTAAAGAAATTTTAGAAGTATAAAAATTAGATTAGGAAACAAATAACTGTGAACTTAACCTTCTAAAGACTGACTTTTAAAAAAATGATGTTGTTGCTGTAAATGATGTTGTTGCTGTACTGCCACCAGAGACCAACTGCAGCCTGACTCAGGATGTGTATGCTTTTTTATATTGTATTCAACTTCACATTATAAATAAAGCAAATGGATTTATTAGTATATAAAATAACTACTATCTAGGAACAGAGTTGTTAGCTGCTATTCATACATTGTCGTAAGCCATTTCTGTGTTAAAAAAATCTAGGACTGTACTTGAGAGATGAGATGAGATGAGATAGTGTGCAACATAAATTCTGGGTATTCAGAATTCAGTGGACTAGAGCCGTGGTGGCACTGTTAGCACTGCTAACTCAAAAATCGAGCCTCTCTGGCAGTTCAAGTCCACCAGCAGCTCGGAGGGGGAAGGCTGGGCCGTGTCCTTCCATGTGATTTACAGCCTCCCTTAAATTCATTGGAGAGTCAGTACACATTGGTTCAGATTCAGCACCAATGAGTTTTCATTGTAGGGTTTTGGGGTTAGTTTTTTTTTTTTAAGTTTTTTAATGCTCTATATGTTGTGTTCCATTCAATTGGAACTTAACCCATATAGCTGACCCCCTCCAGTGGGCTTTCCGAGGCAGTATATTGCGTGGAAGGAGTTTGCCTGCCCACCTCTTTCCTGTAGAACTGCTGGTGGATTCGAACCAAGTACCTTTCCATTCACAGTGTAATTCCTTACTGCTAAGCCCCCAGAGATCCCTAATGTACTATTTACATGATTTTATTTAAATTTTAAAGATAGCTTTTCAGAATATATTTGATTCACATTCACTTTAGATGCTATATTAAAGCTATAATTACTATTTTACTTTCATACTGGCATCATTAATATTTATAATGTTGTAGCTTCCCTTAATGGGGTAGTTGAAATGAATATTGACCACTGGGTATTCTAAAAATGCATGGTTTTAATAATATTTAAATGGAGACTGATAGAATTCTATGTGTTGCAGTTTTGGTTGAGGTTTTTGAGTTGTACTTTATTTCTACTTCTCATTTATTGACATGATTAATAAGATACCAAAGACCAAGCTCTGAGGTGAAAATTGGTGTTAGGTGAAATTAGAAGATGACCATGTCAGATCACAAAATGGAATATAATGACATTATTTCAGAACTGCAGGTTACATCATTACTTAATTTTCAAACCACTAGTAATCGTGCCCCAGACAAGTTCACATGTAACATTAACCATCACAGCCAAAGTTGTTGTCACCTTGCAACTTAACATTTGTTATTGCCAGACATACACTACTAATTCATTAAATAGTCACATACTAATATTACTGTTGTTTTAAATATTCCATGTCAGCTAGTGAGATAGTTGACAAAAGTAAATGTAATTAGACCAAGGAATTTAGATTGACTTTTCTGGTATTATAGAAATTAGTGTACTTATAAAAAATTATTTCGTGGTGAATCCAAAAAACTGAAGCGTTGCTAAAATCATTAGTTTTCCCCCCAAAACTTCTGTATTCTGGCCACTTCTTTTAGTTCCGTATAAGGTCTCCTGACTTTGCAAGTAAGTGTGGGTGGGCCCTGTGTATTTGTCTTAGAATTTGGAGATGGATGGTGAGCTTTTAATTCTTATTTTACATCAACCTCTTTTCTGCTATAACAGAATTGAAGGCAAGTAGAACCTGCATCTTTTTTCCCCAGAAATTAATTTTTTACTGCATAGTGCCACTGTTGTAGAACAGGACTGACATCAGGGTTGGGGTGAGACTGAGAAAGATTGGATGAATTATGCATACTGCATTGAAACAGGTGAGGGAGAGAACAGTTTAAAAGCAATATATGATTGGCTATTACAGTTATGAGAAGAGTCCAGAATGAAGGTTGCATAGTGGAGTGTACTCGGGGCGGTGGGGATATTGTATACCAATGAAAGAATTTTTCTTTTACTTTTCAAAGAGAAAAGTGAACTGGGGTGGGGGGGAGCGGTGGGCAGGGAGAAAAATGCAACAATGAATGAATGGAAATCCAAAATCTCTATAGACGTTCATTAAAAATAATAAAATTTTTAAAAAGGTACTATTCATGTAAACAAAGAAATTAATTTTTTTAATTTTAATGAACGTTTACAGACACTTTGTATTTCCATTCATTCATTGTTGCACACTTTCCTTCCTGCCCACCTCTTTCCCCAGTTCACGTTTCTCTTTGAAAAGTAAAAAAAAAAAAAACCCCAAAAAACCAACTTTCATTGTTATACAAGAACCTCCATATTATATCCATTTATTTCTTTATTAATTGATATGTAAAAGGAGGGTTGATTTTGTGAAGTTGATGAGAATACTTTTTTAAATTGTTGTAAAGGGAGAAAGTAATTTATTTACCTGTCTAAATCTCTTAATAGCAAGAGTCAAAAACTTGAATTAAATATTATTTAAGTCACTTATCACTTGAATGAGAATACATTTCTTTTCCTTTAGGTAACTAAACTTTATAGTGTTAATTTTTAGAATTTTGAAACTTTTAAAACAGACTTCTTGGAACCTGAATTTTTACTTTAGTGTGTAAACTTTGATTTTTTAAACGTGTCATTAGTTGATGGTAACAAAGCTTCAGAAATTTAGGAAAAAGAAGAAACTTTTTTCTTCCTGGTTTTTTTTTTTCTCCTCCTGCTAGTCAAAGTGCTTTGCAATTTATGGTTGTGTTCATATACTGTTTTGTTGTTTGTATTTCCCATCAATCCCAAATTTTTGTCACCAGTTCTTCACTTTTTATTTAAAGGTCTTGTTTCATTTTCTTTTCCTTTCTAAGTTTTATTTATTTTGTTGTTACTGTTGAAATATACACAGCAAAGTATATACCAGTATATCAGTTTATACTTGTACCATTTGGTGATACTGATTATATTCTTCAAATGGTGTGGCTTTTCTTAACTCTTTTTTGGAATTTTTCTTCCCTCACTAATGTAAACTTGTTGTTGTTGTGTACCATGGAGTCAGAACCGACCCATAGCAGACCCTCGTTATTGTCCTCTAAATCTGCTGTCTAGTCTTTTGAACTGTTGTCAGTATGATCTTGTATAAATCGTTCTCAAGGACTGTCATGCTAAGGACAGATCTTTTTTGCCAGTTGAGTTTTTGCTTGTTTTTAAGATGATTCACCAGGCATAATTTTTAATTTAAGATTTAAAGCTTATCTCATTGAGTTGTTTTAACCTACCCTCCCTGGCTCCACAAAATCTATAAAGTTCATGAGAATTTGAAATTCTCTCCTACAAGTTCCCTTCCTTGATCAGAATTCTTCTGTAGAATCTTTTTCAGTATTATTAGGCCAGATAACTGGGATAAGTTCGTGATTTTAAAGCTTCAGATAGCAGAACCAAAACCCGTGATGTGTTTGGTCACACATAAACAGCCTCAGCAGCTACTCTTGCTTCTTTCCTTCCTATCTGTCGGTGTTGTAAACATACCTCTCACACAGCTTTTACCAGCTCAGTCTTTACGTTTGTATAACATGTGACAGCTATTACAATAATTGACTGTGCAACCCTATGCTTAATCAATGTGATTTTTTCCCATCAATGATAGCCCTTTTTCTTTCTTCTGCCCAACTCCTGGTAAACACTGTTAAGCTTTGGTTTCTTGGCATTTGCATTTTTCATATCTTTTTGTATAAGTGGGGTTGTATGATACATTGTCCTTTTTAGGCATTATTTTGCTTAGCGTGTTGTTACAATAATATTCTAGTATGTGTTATGTCTCAAGACTTCATTTGTGCTACTTGTCGAGTAGTAGTCCACTGTATATACGTGTCATATTTCATTTATCCATTCATCTATTCATGGGTATTTAGTATGTTTCCACCTTTTGGTTATTGTGAGTAGTGTTGTAATGATTCTTGATGTACATGACTTTTTTGTAAAGTTCTGTTTGTAAATCTTTTGAGTATATACTTGCTTGGTCATGTGGTAATTTTAGTTTTTTGAGGAACTGTCAGCTAATTTTCCACAGTGGCTGTGCCATTTTTCAGAGGACATCTCAGGAAGAGGTGTTCTACATTACAAAATAGCTACCTGAAATCTGGAAGCTAACAGGAATGTGGGAACGGCTATGCAGGATGGAGGATAATGATGCAAGGAAGATAAAGTTAGATTAGTCTTTCTTTACTGGTATAGACTCACTAAGCATGGATTCTTCATTCAGTATTTCAGCTCAAGAAGTCAGAGAAAAGATAAAAGGGTTTATTTAGTTGGCTCACTGAAGCATGAATTAAATGTTGGTCTCCACTGGACTGGAGAGTTTATGCTGTGTGAACTAACTCAGTCCCGCAAGGATAAATATTGTATAAAACTGTTATTGTAGAATGAGTATAAGGATCCAGGAGGAGTGGGAGAGACTGGACGCAGAGGGATGAGGATGTGCAGGGGGAGGGGAGATTAATCATTGGATTGTATGATTTGATGGGTGGAGGGGTGAGGGAAATTGAAACAATTTGTTCAAATTTGTATTCAAGTTTTATAAATAAACTAGTGGGGGGAAATAAAATAAAAAGAAGGAATACAGGAAGAAGAAAAAAAAATGTTGGCCTCCGCTAAGTCAGGTTGAAAC